CGACAACAACCGGCCCAAAAGGGGTTGGTTGTTTGCTCGTCCCATGATTTGTTGCGAAACGCCCAGGAAGCTCCAATCAAAATGGTGGAACAATAGGGGTATAGGGGGAAGCTTTTGCTGTTTGAGTGTAGTGAATCTGTTGGGCATGGGGTCGTAGGGCTAGACGGCAACATCGCCATCCACCTGATTGACACTCACCATATTTTTTGCTGACAACAAATCGCAGAAGCTTGGCAATGTACGTCTTTTGCGATTGTGGAGATTCGGGGGACATCCGATGAATCTCGTAATTGCCCAAAGCAGGTTCAAGGAATCTATCGTGCCTTCGAACGTCACATTTACTCGCAATTAGAATAAACGGCAAGGATGATGCGGACAAAGTGTCTAAGCAAACGAGCCATTAGCAACCATATACTTTCTCAAGGAGTGTGTCTGAAACAAGCGGAAGTACTCCGTGAAACATACCAAGTAGGCCTGTCAATTCTGAGAGGCTCTCGGGTTGGGTCACGTCGTGAAGAACGAGCACTCCGTCAATAACCTTTGGCGAAGTGGCATCGTTGCCAATCCGAGGCCACTCGAGCTCTCCATTGCTTCCGACTGTTAACTCTTTGGTTGAAATCTCCACGAATCGAACAAGGTAAACAGTGCCGTCTAATGACATTTTCTTTGTTGTCGATCGTGAGGATAGCGGGTTCTTCATGTCTAGAGCGCTCCGAATGAATGTGGATTTGCCGGCTTTCTCTTGGCCAACAACGGCGATCGTAAGGTGTGGGAAGTTCGGCTTCTGAGATATCTATAGCGGAAATCAGTGGTTAGCCGTTTACTACAACCTCCGTTAGATCACAATGCTCGTGGACAGAACCTACCCCGTTACCGTCACGTATCGGCAATAAGCCGGTGTCACTCCTTGAGAGAACATGTTCCTCCTCCTCTATGAGAGGGCTCTCAACCTTACTCCGAGTGTCCGTTGCCATTCTGGAGGAATCGAGTTTATACAGACCTCCGGCCGGTGCGGAAATTGTTCTGCCGGGGAGACCTGGTCTCTGCGGGAAGGGTGCAGGCTGAGCTCTGTCGCTGGAGGACCGCTCCCGTCGCTGTTGCTCGAAGGTCATCATAGAGTCGTTTTGGTGCAAAAAGTTTGAACGATCGCGGCGAGTGGAAGGGGGCCAGCGGAGACGTCAAACATGCGATAGCGCAAATCCGATATTGCTAGGCGAGTGACTGATGTAGGCACGACAGCTCATCCATTGTCGCTTGAGTAGAATGGCAGTCGACACTGGTTGATTGGTTCCTCTGAATAGTGTTGAGTCAGTCTCTTTATCGGTAGTCTCCTCTTATTCTCTCTTTCCGCTGACGGAGTGATCGATGATCGAATACGAATCGCACTGGTAAAGAGACAAAATTAGTAAACCCCGTCGTATTGTCGGACGAACTTTCAGGATAACCTCACATGAACGTCCTCCAATTTGAAGAGCGCAATACGATTGTACTCAATTTGCCCTTGCAGATCAGATCAAAGGCGGTTTGCACTGCCCGCAAAGGCGGAAGAATGGATGGGGAACAAAGAAGAGGAAGATCACTCTTCGGTACAAAAGTCGGAGGCTGAGGTGGGTTGCCGGACGCTCAACACATAGGCGATAAATAGTTAAGTAAATGAGTAATTTTAATAGAACTGAGAAGGAGACATATTGAATCACTCGTCTTAAAATATAATAAAAGCAGAATACGCAGCTAGAACCAGATCGTATCCAGGCTCCACGATTTTCGCGTGACTGCAGCCGAAAAAGAAAAAGGCGGCGGGATCTTCAATCTGTGGAGGCAGGCACACCGAAGCCTCCACTATGTCGCTTCAGGATTGGATGGTTGAGGGCCAGAGCTTTGATACTCACAAGAATAAGACAGCGATGAGAAGACCATAGAAAAGAGACAACAGGACGGTAATAGAATCTTATGGTTCACAGCTGACGATGGATGGAGGATCCCGGACGAATCGGAGCAATGGTCGTGTACAAAGTGGTACAAGAGAGACACAGCACTTGAGGTGCCTCAATGGCCTTTCCGAATCAGAAAAGGAGTCAGCCTACTATTGTACCGAGACATCCAGATCTGTACATCATTCGTTGTTCAGTCGAGAGATGTGCACCACTTAGATTAGTGACCATCTTCTATTCAGCTATAGAGAATGTCATGCCTACGATTGATGTCCCGTGACGAGACAGTTTTATCTCGCAAGAGTTGGGAGCAGACTGGAGAGTATAATATTCGCTTAAAGAAGGGACACCAATGCCCCAACGGCAATCTCATTTAGGTTTAGAAACAGTAAAAGGCGTACTTAGAGGAGTAAGCTGCCCAGGTAGCTAAATGTAGCTAAATGAGCTAAGTAGTTAGATAACAGCACCGCCGCTCATACGCCTTCAACTTCATTCGTTCCAAGGAATGGTATGACCCTCGCTAGTGTTGTAGACTTGTAGTGGTCCTGGTGAAATAGTGGATGATATATTGACCTAAATCCAAACTAAGGAAGTTGGCTATCAGCTCAAAAATCATTGGATTGGTCCGGATTCGTTTCGCTCATATCCACAGAGGAAACGTCTGCATTGACACTAGAGCTGAGTGAGTCTTCCCACTTGGCAGTGGTCTTGCCTTGAGAACCGCCTCTCAGTCATAGAGCGAGTGGCGCGCAGAGTTTTGAATCACAATAATACCCTCAGACCTGGGAAGTCAAGTATTGTGCAATACTACGAAGTGTTTAAGAGACAATTGAAAGACTCGGTTCATACAGAAACACGAAAGGCCGATCGTAAGGATAAGATCCGGGGCAGCGGGTTCTGAATCCCGTCACGCAGCCTGATTCGGGCTCCACTGTGGCCAGGCGTCTAATAGACGTACCTAACCATTCAATCACCATTGGGAGCTCGGTTTCATGTGTTCCAAGCTCATTTTTGAGTGACAAGGTTGATCATTGTCGCTTCGAGTCCGATAAGTCACACGCATTCTTAGAAGCGTCCCATGGATTCGTTAGACCGAATACCTCGACTCGCCTGTGATTCGAGCTGTTCGGCATGAGATTGATGGTGTTTCGGCCGGTCGGCTCCTCTCTAGCTATCACAGCCCCCGCATTCTGCTACGGTCCAAGACATAGCCCGAATAGGGGTGGGAACACTGTGAGCTGACCTTTAAGTGGTATTAGGCGGGGAAGATGGAGCAGAAGCAAAACGAGGGCGATTGCCACTTCAGGTCTCATGTCCTTGTAAGATGGCTGCATTGCTCTACTGAGAGCGGAATATCTATCTAAGGCTGTTCAAGTAGTCTGTGTTTCAGCCGATAACAGAAACACCAAAAAATATATCTACTCAAGCTATGGGGAGGCATCTTTCATATATTGCCCATTGGCACTCAAGATTGCCATTGTCCTCCCCTGGTCATAATCGCTCATCAAGGGCAGTTCGCTATCGCAATATTTCGATAGTGCAGCAACATAGCCGTGTTTGGAAATGCGATCTTCCAAGCCATGAAGTACGAATCTCTTTCCTCTCCTTGCAGAGAAGGAAATTCATGCGGGTTGCTGGTGCTGGTTTTCACCGTTGATCAAAGCCATAAAATTAATAAACGCCTCTGCGTGCTTTCCGGTCTCCAATCCTTCTTCGCATCTCTCTCTCAATTTCCTAACCTTGCCCAAACCTCGGTTGAAACCCTTCTCCCGGGTCCACGAGCCTCGATTGCGGTAACCTCCTCGTCCTCGATGGTAGGGTCGTGATCGACCAGCAGGTCCCTGTTCTATCCACTCCTCCTCCAAAGTAATCTTGTAGATATCGCGCAGGCAATCACGAAGCCGAGGACTCTGAGCAAGCAGGTCTTTGATTTGTGGGGAGGACGCTAGTGCTTCCACGCTGTATGCATTTCGGTTCGCTTGTGCGTTCGAGCTCTCGTTGACTTCCTGCTCGCCGGTGACGCTAGGCGTGGTTTGAGTGGCATCCGTCGCGCTTGTCGGCTCCGGCGCCTGGGGTTTGGGTGCGCAGTAGATCTTATGGGACTGAGTGCAGGCGAGCGAGCAACTGTAGGCGGTGGTTAAAACAAGCGCAGGTGCTTTGAGGCAACGGAGGAAAGCTTACCTCAAAAGCCCACAGGTAGGGCATTTATACTTCGAGGGCTCCGAAACGCAAACCTCGCAAGTTCCAGGCATCTTTTGCCAGCTTGAGACTGCGAGCCAGCTGAGCTGCGATCAAACTTCGTCAAGCATGGTTTGTAGCTTTTGCAGCTACAATAAGATGGCAGAGGACAGTGAAAAAGCACCCTTAAGCCAGAGCAAACGCATTAACAAGCGATAGTGAAAGATGGTGGAAAGATCTTCAATAACACCTTCGGTTCCCTACTGCAGAATCAAAAATCATAGATGCCTCAGGATTCAGGAACCATTCAACGACGCAGATCACATGATTCTTCGCCACTAATGGCGAAATGGCCCAAATCTACGATCATTTATCCTGTTCGATAATTGAATATTGTAGACAAGTAAACGGTCATCTTCAGGATTACCGGCAGAGACAGAAAGTTTATGATTTTCATGAGCTTAGTGGTGGACTCATCTACCATCTCTAACAATCGTGTTTGTATACGGAGTGACCATAATGGATGGTGCTCCATTCATACAAACTGGATGCAATATTTGCGGACGACGTAGGTACAACTCAGATTACAGGGTAACGATGTAGATTAAGTAGTATAATATTTTACATGCGAAAATCTCACCAGAGAGGTATGAATCACTTCAAGTTGTCTTAACGAACTGGCTGTTTCTTCTATACCTGATTTGTCATCAACGTAAATTTGGCAGAATTCCTGACAGTCATGTGACCTAAGATTGCGTCAGAGCTTGATTGAAAATGGGATGCGGGAAAATAGTATTCTACTCCGGACAACAATTATCAGTTCTCCTTTTCCAGCATAGAGTATCTTTCTTGCAAGTCATTTTCAGGTAATACTGGAAGATTTCTCAAAACATGTCTGTCAGCCGCACATCGACATCATTGCTCAGAAGGGCTCTTCTGGACACCCGATTCTCGCCGCAATCTGCCACCGTCCAGTCGCAAGGCATCCGACCAGCACTCGGATCATACAAGAGCATCCATAACTCCGCCAGGTTACCTGCCATCACCGCCTCTGAGACTCGTCGCCGGCCGACTTTGCGCCCTCATCATCGCCCTGCTGCCCAAGCCCGGGTGAACGGACCGTTGCCCGTTACGAAGCGGACAATTTTTATCCAGACCGAAAACACTCCAAATCCTGATGTGAGTTAAGCGTCCCGATTGTCATGGACGATTATCTGTATGTAGACCACTAATGATATACTCCCTGGCAGGCATTGAAGTTCATTCCCAATCACCGCGTCCTCCCGGAGGACTTCCCAACGTCTTTCCTCGAGTATCTTTCTCCTCGATCGACCCTTGCGCCCCCTCATCCTTCCCCGCTAGCAGCGAACCTGTTCAACGTTGATGGCGTGACTTCAGTGTTCTACGGTCCGGACTTCATCACCGTGAGTAAATCCAGCGATGCGAACTGGGCGCACATCAAGCCCGAGGTCTTCAGCCTTATCACGCAGGCTGTGACATCCGGAGAGGCGATTGTCAATACGGTAGAGAAGACAGGAGAACATGCGCAGGAGGGCGGCGAGGAGGAATCTCTCAGCTTCAACGAGGAGGACGACGAGGTTGTTAGCATGATCAAGGAACTCCTGGAAACGAGAATCCGGCCTGCGATTCAGGAGGACGGTGGTGATATTGAGCTCCGGGGCTTCGAGAACGGCATTGTGAAATTGAAGCTACGTGGTGCGTGCCGTACTTGCGACTCGAGCACTGTGACGTTGAAGAATGGCATTGAGTCGATGCTGATGCACTACGTATGTTTCATCCTTCTACTGTGTTTGGCTTGCACTAACTTCTTTGTCATGAACAGATCGAGGAGGTCCAGGGAGTTGAGCAAGTCTTGGATGAGGAAGAGGAAATCTCCATGCATGAATTCGCCAAGTTCGAGGAGAAGTTACGTCAGCAGAAGGGCCCTCAGGCTACAGCTTCTACGGGAGGCAAAGGGACCTTGGACACGGCACCGTAGGCCACTGGTCCCTGTTTATGCTTCTTCAAGGTTTCCGATATAACGGTCGTTTATTCCAGCTGTCAACGTTTATTGTGTGTGGAAAGCATTCCTTCCAACTGGGTTGGCGATCCACAATCGCCTTTCCCGGGCAGCTTGTACAATACAGAGATATACATCAACCATCTATCAAAGATCTATGCAAGTGGCTTGAGAGCATTTGACATTTGACCACTAGCCCTTGACTATCATGCAGCCAAGATAAGTCTTCAGGGTTCGAAGCTTGGAAATCCATGGATATATTTGCCATGAGCACTTGCCAATCAACCCAAGCTTTGAAACGGTGTGATACCTTTCGCGTCATAACCTGGTACATGTCCTACGATAAAGAACTTTCTGTATCGAAGTCACGAGGCACGTAGATTCAAGAGGGTCTAGACAGTGGACGTCGAGTGGGTACTACATATCAGGTGAGGCATTGTCAGGTGATGCTTCAAAGCACGTACATGGTAGGTCTTCCATATCAGGGTGTTTGGTGATTGGATTTGATGCCTGTTCATTTGCTTATAGGTAGGTACCAGCTACCGTATGAAAGCTACCTAGATGCGGACCAAACAGAAAGAAATATATAGTTTCGGTCTACTGTGCCGCACCAGTGCCTAGCAGTTGGATGGAACGGGTAGGTGTGGACTAGGGACCGACTCCTCATATGCAGCCATAGTCGCCACCTGACTCTGGAGCCTGTACTTGTCTTAGTGTGCTGAAAACTATTGGGGTAAGCTTTGCGTTAACCGAGAACAACATGCATAACCTAAGGTATGTTCCGCGCTATGATAATTCACCCTAAGATAGTTCATGCCTAGGGACAATTCAGCGGGGTTGCTCAAAAGCACAAAGTACTGTGAACTTGATGGAGCTAATCTAGTATAACCTAAACTTTTCATGGAATGTAGCACAGTGTAGTTTTCGGCCGGAGCGGCTGGACCAAGGTTCCAGTCTCAAATCCAGATCATAAGTAGCGCTGTGCCACACATGGACTGACATCGGTGCTTGTTACTGTGAGCAAAGTACGCCTGCCTGACCTGGCGACGGGACTTGGGGCCGGAATTTCGGGGTGAGCCGCAATTCGCTGCTGGAGATGGAGGATGAGAGTTGGTGTAGGTTTCTGTTTGGAGCTATCAGCTGTCAGATGGCTTTTTTGTGCCTACATGATGGATGCTTTGTGTGCCTTGTCGTTAATAACATGGCTCTCTCTTGCATCCTCAGGTTGACCTGGCGTGGTGATGACAAGCGTTCAATTCCTATCATCTACCGTACAAAGCTACTATATCTCTCGGTAGGAGAAGGATAGAAAAGGTAGGTGCGCACGCTATATTCCGTAGACCAAGTGCGACAATCAACGTCACGACGTTGATCCGTGGGTCGTGTTGAGCCCCATTACAGCGTATCCTTCGCCACCGTCAACGAGGGGCGAGGAAGGGGTCTCAGTAGCTTGTAACCACGGATGAAAGCTGAATCTGCTTGCTTTTCCATCGTATCAAGATCTATCCGGAAATCTCGAGTTCTACTACCTTACTACCCTATGATGCTTACATTGAATAGGAATATATGTTACCACCAATGACTGACAAGCTGATCAGGTACTAGTATAATCTGACAGCAGTCAGTTGACACGGGCTAGGTAGGGACGAGAACTGGCCAAGATGCATGCAATTTTAGAGATTCAGAGATGGAGGGGCGCACTCATTTTGGACGATGGCTGAGTACTGTAGTCAAAACGGGCCTGGATGATGGCTGGATGGGTCCAGTGTGCGGGAAGCTCTCTCCGCAATATTTTCAACAGACCATCCTGCAGGCTCAGAGGCTGCTGCATAAGAGGGGGCCGCAGTGAAGCACCGACGACAAATCGGCGTTAAAATACTCAGGAACTTGGGCTCGACAGTAAGATAAGTCGATGGCCATTGCTCCCCCGCACAACAATGGTGTCGACAAATTGCCTGCAGTAGTGGTGGACGTGAGAATGGACGAATGTAGTTGTCTTCGGATATGAAGATGGAGGCTTCGTACCTATTTATGTCGAGGAATGAGGAGATTTTGAGTTGTGTCTCAAGTGTCTCAGGTTGCTGTCCGTCTAAGGGACTCCACTCATGTTTCCTTCGTAGGTCCGAGTGTAACCTAACATCCATGGTAGAATGACGTTGACGAGTATCTACATCGTATTGAGGGAATAATTTCTGCAACCTCAAACAATGACGACTTATTCTCCTCTAGAGAAAATAACACAATTACGGAGTACCTGACTTTACCCAGCCTTCCCTATATGTAAGGTACTACCTCAGCACGGAGTACATATTTTCCAACCCCATACGCGTGGAAGGATGGAATGAAGGTAGAAACTCTCAACCCCAATACATTTCTGGTCCCTTGTCCCTCATAGATAGGTATATTAATTAATACTGATCTCAATGCAATTGGTCGGCATTGATATAACTTGACAGTCTTGGTAGGAAATAATAATGAACGTGACCAACCTAAAGCACAACTTTCATCGGCTAGGCTAGCAGCTGTCTCCGCATTCTTCGAAATGAGCCCAATGCACTATCCATGCTTCCAACCCTTGAGTTCTTGGCATAAACGACAACATTAGCTGCTTGGGTCGAGGAATACGGAGTAAATTATGTTATTGTTGAATCTAGAATCTTCCTTTTGTAAAGGGAAAGGCACAGAGGACCAGCTGTCAACCCCGCTCTCCGCTCGCCTATGGTTGTTGTAAGAACATCATCTACATCAGGCACGAGAATAACAGACAGGCTAGGAAGTTAAAGACCGCACTTGTTTTAAACTCGAGCGTCATTTGAGACCAAGTCAAAGGCGACTGGATCGTCTTCCTCCCAAATCCCAATGCGCCATTGGTAACTTCGTACCCCCGGACGATCGTCAACTTCACCTCCGGAGACCCGCAGGACCCGCTTAAGAGAATGCCATCCAGTGGTTGACCATTTTCCAGCTCCTGCCACTGTCATACTACTAGGTACCTACTCAACGACTGACTAGTTGATCAAGTTCGGCAACATGAGAGAATATCATGATCCTACTAGATATGAGAACTTTATTAATATTAGCGAATATCATTGCAGTCATTGGTGAGTTGGTCTGTTTACTGTAATCTTACCTGATCTCTCCTGTCAGGAGGCTGATTCGATTAGGAAAGGTAATCGATCGGCCATCTTCCTCTTCAGCATATAAATCCGATTATGGAGTATTAGACTGAGTCCAAGATGGATATTATATAGATATCAAAGAATCATCTTCAGTAACAAAGAAAAATACAGTATTCATCGGCTTAGCTCGGACATAGAGACTCCATTGACGGACCCATATAAGATAGCCCCGAGTTATTGTGTACTTAATGAGTCTCAAGACAAGATCAATCTTTGCGCCACTTCTCGGTGCCCCGACCCGTGGCTCGATCTAGTCCTCTTGTCACCCCCAAACCCAAAAAAACCCCAAAAGTGGCCTGAGGTTCATTAGTCCACTTGCATTAAGTTACCTTCCTTTAGGTTCTTCTACTTTGGATGACTTAGTACCTCCCTTAGACTTGCAACTTGACTGGGGTGTACAACCTTACTCCTCTTTTCTTTCGATTCTTCTTCCTTGTCTGTCTCTCCGTCCGTGTTCCTTTCATATCTTCTTCTCCTTTCGCCGGTCCCCCCTCTACTCCGTACATCCTATGTCCTATGTCGTTCTCATTCTTCCTCCCTCCATTAATATCCCCTCCTTGATCTGGGACACCGAACAACGTAACCTTCAATCCCCTGCATCGGCTACCGCATTCTAGATCGACTACACCGGTCGAATTAACCTTTCCGACTCAGCTACATTTCGGACAGTTCACCACAAACCCGTCCTCGCGATACCTGCGCCGCTTTTCCTCTCCGCCTTAACGCATTCCCCTCCGCCTTAACGCATTCCCCTCCGCTACAAAGCAGTAAGATCACCACTCTTCTCTTTTTGTCTTCTTCTTTTCGTAACCACCTATCGTTTGTATCGCATCTAATCGCAACGGAAATAGCTTCATCAATAGGCGATCGCAATCCTCATACTTCATTCCTTCCAAGATGCGCTGCTCCTAAGCAGATCTGCCCACAGATCAGGCGTCAAGAGTGCTTCCACAACGTCATCCGAGGTCACGCTACCACCCTCGCACCGCATCTTTAATATCCAATACTGCGCCAAGTGCGACATCGACCCTGTCGCGATTTCGATCCGACTACTTTAAAGATTCTGTGGACAAATTTCAGTCCGACCAAAAAGTGTCGAAAATAAAATAAAAAAAATAACGAAATTATCAAAAAGAGAAAAGAGCCCACTGTTTCTAGGCAAGCATTGAACGAACGATCTACAATCGAGACCCCATCTTCGCGCAGCGCCTTCGTCGCAAACTTCTGTGCTCGTTCAGACCGGAAGCCTGGTCGCTTCTTTCGTCGCCTTGCTTATTTCAGTTCGATTACGGACCACATTGTTCTTTCATCGTCGAGGGATTGGCTTCGTTTGGGTTTGGATAGAAAATAAAGGGATCGTTTTTACTCTAGACTGGTAAGTCTCCGACGTCTTGATATGTCGGAAGCTTGCTCATACCTTGGGGACGCTCGCACAGACTTGTTCACGAAATTATTCTGCCTTTTGTATTCGTTGAGAAGTGCCAGTGATACCCACGTCCATAAAGGCTTCTGCGTTAACAGGGGGAATTGTACATTGTTACTTTCTACGGTACGTGTTGAGTCTTTGTGTCATACTTTACCCCATTTTACACCCCGCAATCCCCACAAAAATGTCAACCGTTCTCATGCGGCATGATTTTCTCAATCGTGGCTTCTCCTGGGGCGTCTACATCTTCGCCTGGCGGAGCTCCAACCGCGATTTACTGCATCCCAACTTCAGTGTGTCACAATCAAATGGTCGATCACGTCGACCGCAGTGAGGCATACGGGCGTATAAGCAAGCCGAACCGCTTTTTTTTCTACTTCTTATCCTTGAAATTGCAGTCATTGGGTCGAAAGCTACCATCGTACTGTTCCTTGGGCCGACAGGTGCCAAAAATTGCCACAGACCCTTGAACTCAGATCTCATTGGCCGTTTCTCGATTTGGGCTGAATAGTCCATATCATTATTTGAGGCCCCGGCTGAGAGATCCTTTGGCTTTGAACCTCCATAGCTTTCAATATCGCCACCTCAAGCTACTTCCCTTCATATCGCTCAGTATAGACATTATCCCATGCATCTGTCTGCTATTTACCTTGCCATTCTTTGCGTATCTGACTTAAACATTATCTTCATGCTATGCGTGCTTCATCTCATTTTCATTGACACTTCAATTTCACTGGTGCGACCTTGAACTAACTTATCATGCAACAAGCTCATATTCTGCTAAGGTCACCGAAGCTCGTTCTTAGAGCCAACGCTCCTTCAGCACATTTGCAAAGTCAATAGGGCTTATTCTCTTATTTGTTTTATTCTCTTGAAGTTGACCATACAAGAGTTGGTCTGGTTCATATCTTCTTCTAGTGGATACCTTGTGCTGCTTTACTTCTCAGCACTGCGCACAGAGGGGTGTTGGAAAAATCAAAATCACTCCTCTTCGTCTCTCACTGCCTCCAAGCATCACCATTATCAGATATCAGTAAGTCAATATCTCTTACATTGCACCTGAAAGACCTCATCCCATCCTCATACGTTACACAGCCTCGGTGCTGTATTCTACTCAACCTGTCGGTGTGGACTTCCTTATTTCGTATCTGGTGTTGCTGTCCGGCCCGAATTGTTTAGTTAGGCTTCGTTCTGGATTTCTGACCTTGGGCTCCTACTCATCTCGTCTACTTGCTAGCTTTCTCTAGACTCCTACTGACCTGCTTGTTTTAGCCCATAGAGTCTCAGTCACGACTGCACTGCCACCAGTGATTCAACCTTTCTCACAATCTACGCTTTGAGACAGGGTTGAGCTTACAAGACAATATGGCCGCATCGTCTGAAAAGTCCACGCAGGAATCCAAACTTGCCGACCCGCCAGCTGTGTCCAATGCGTCAGTCAGGCTTGAAAAAACCCATCCTGGAGTCCGTCGCTCGACGCCCGATTCGGAAGCTCTGGCATCCTCAGATGACGACGTGGAGCACTCGCATCTGCCGTCAACATCTGCAGCTGTTTCTGCACCAAAGCCTACTCGCCGTACTTCATGGCTGAACGAGATTCCCCTCAATATGCCGAGAAAGGTGTCTTTGACTACTGGTTCCTTGATCTCAGGCACCGGTGCCTCTAACCCGACTAGTCCCGCAACCGACCACACCGGCTGGCCTTCGGGGACAAGTCCTGGATTGAGCAGCCCAATGAACTGGAACCACGTCGGAAACAGCTCGTTCACATGGGGCACAGGCATTTGGAATTCCGAATCCAGAAAAGAGCCGCCGCCCCGACTGTCAGAGATTGTCCCGTCGCCTACGATGTCTAATGCGTCTGCTACTAACAACTATTTTGCGGATGAGTTGTTGAGTCCCACTGCCCGCACTACATCTGGAGAGTCGGCGATCCCGTTCTCTATCCCGCTTCACCCCACGCCCAAGACCTATCGCTCGCAGTCTTACTCCGTGGGGCAGATGGATCCAGAGTACTTGAACACGATGGCCAATAAGTCCGCAGCACCGTATCCAGGTGGGCGGGTTCGGAATGCTGGACAATACTCCGCGCTGCAACACCGATCGTCTCGGCCAAGCCTCCTTGGAGAACTCGGTCATGACCCTGCCACTCTCGGTCGTGTTCGTGAGGATGATGACGATGGCGGTAGCGGTAACAGTTCCGACGGTAGTCTCAACGCTTATTCGGCGAATCAGGCCCGCACAATTGAGCAACTCTCGCGGGAGAATGCAATACTGCGTCAGGCTGCAGGTCAACTGGATAACAGACTTAGAGATCGCGCCATGTCTTCTGCGTCCACTGCCAGTGGGTATGCAGTTGGTAGCAACTCGCGCAACCTCCATCGGATTCGTGGTACCGTCCCCGAGGAAACAGATCTTGCGGTGGAGGATCTCGACGAAGTGGGCGACATACCCGGTTATAGCAACATTCACAGCAGCCTGCGTAGAAGGTTTTCCGAGCATTCGGGTAACCTCGAGAAGCAGCTGCCTTCTACTCTCACCCCTCTCGAGAACCGTGCGCTGGAAACTATTCGTAAGGCGAATTGGCAGACTTCTCTTGGATTTGGCAGCCTCGCCGATATTCCTCAGAGCAGGCGACACTCTTTTGCAGATATTCCCATTCGGCACGCTTCTATTTCCGGCGACTCTCAAGTAGCGGCCACCTCCCGGGCTGGAATGGGAGATCGGGAAGACCATCTTGTGAATATCAGTGATGGTCCCCTTTCAAATGCCCAGAGCCAGAATCGTGAGTATCACCGTCTGCATATGGCTTCTCGTCCTGAGGAACATGAAATGGAAATGGAATATTTACGAGCTCGTCAATTTGCAGAATCCTACTTTGCTCGCGACCAAGCTCTTCGTGTTGCCGAAGGACCCTCTGCAGTTCCTACTTCGCTTCACCAGGCTTATACGATGCCAAACGCTTACGGCCGCCACCAGTCTGGTCTTGCACATGGCCATCAGAATCAGCTTCTGTATATCGTGACTTTCAAGTGCCACCGTGCCGACGTTTTCTACATTCAAGAAGACACTGGCTTGCAGGTGAAACCCGGTGACTTGGTTATTGTCGAAGCGGATCGTGGCACGGATTTAGGCACTATCCAGCATGCGAATGTATCCTTGCAGAGAGCCCGGGAGCTGAAACAGCAGTATGCAGAGGAACACTACAAATGGCTGATGATGTTCTCTCGGCAAGGCCAGAACGGAACCGCGAACGTGACTGGGAGTGTTCCAGCCTTGAGCGGAAGAAGCACTATCGGCGGCATGGGTCCTCATGGTCCGCATGGTGTGCAGGATTTAGCAGGAGATATCAAGCCTAAGCTCATCAAGAGACTTGCGCAGAACCACGAGATCCTGACGCTCCGCGACAAAGAGGGCAACGAGGCGAAAGCAAAGCGGGTCTGTCAGCAGAAAGTTGCTGAGCACAGACTCAACATGGAGATTCTTGATGCCGAATTCCAAATGTAAGGATCACGTCCGGGCCATCGAATTTCATGGTACTAACTGCAACAACAGGGATTGGAAGAAACTCACTTTCTATTACTTTGCGGATTCGTACATCAACTTCAACTCTCTTGTGACTGATCTTTTCAAGATCTACAAGACCAGGATCTGGATGTCGGCAATCAATCCAGCATCCTTTGTGACTCCGCCAACTGCTGGCTTGCCACCTCCGGGAGGTGTTGGAAATGCCGACGGCCGAGTGTACGGCGCAGCTCGAGACGGTATGGATGTTGGCAGAGACACGGTGGGCAATAAGATCGGGCCCCTGCGCAACACCTACACAGATCCTTATCAGTCTTTTCCTCATGGTGCCCGGCAGCCTGATTCCGGCCTTGGTGAACTCGCACCCAGTGCCGATCCCTTCTCTGCATACCCGCCAAACGCTTATGGTGGGACCCTAGACACTGGCTATGTCGACTATGCCGCGCATAGCCCAGGCGTGGGCAGTGGTCCGTCTCGAGTTCATAATGCGCCAAATGACTGGACCACCCGGTTCCAGGGCCTGTCACTTGGATCTTGAACGAGAACCATCGTACCCTTGGCTCAAGGTATCGCTGTCTCCCGTACACCATGTTCGCGGTTGAGTCAGTGAAATGACATGCACACTGTACTTTTCTTCTCCGTCTCCAATGCTGTGTTGGGTTTTCATCTATTTTCGAAAGTGTTCTTTATTCGGTGATTCCCATTTCTCCAGTCGTTCCTTTCAACCTCTCTCGTCTGTTTTTGCCATTTTCTTCCAACGCTCTAGAAAAATTACGTGACGGATCTGCTAAAAGATTTACGATCTGTCGCTATGCTGATACCTAATAGACCTCAACTCATGAATTGATGGCTTTCCCTGATTACTTTTCGACTACACTCAAGCAGCTGTACATCAGCACTTGCGCTTTGTTCTCTTCTTCGTTTCCTTCCACGACCTTACATACAAGTGCTTCTTGCGTGCCGTCTCACGTTCATTGCCATACTACTGTCCTGTTCTGTACACGGTGCCACAATGATAGTTACGAATGACTTTGCTGCAGTCGTGATGGTTTGCAGGGTTGGAACAATTGAGAGACTTTTCTTTTTTCCTTCCCTTGCGAAACAGAGGAACGAAGAATATTGAAATTTTCTTACCACTGGTAATAAGATTGAACTCTACATTTAGACAAGAAATAAAATTGTTTATGCTTGCACGCTGATAAACTTCGCCTCTCCTCCTTGCGCTCCTAGGTAGTGACGGCAGAGATGTGGCATATGCCCAAACCGCACCCAGCTGTCGTTGCCTTGCGGCCTTAGGGCTGGACCTAGTATTGAGTGACCAAACCTAATAAGGAAAAGGAGGATTTCTAATCCGTAATTGACACCTTAGGCATAAACAAGGGTTAGCGTCAAAGCTGGTTGGTGGATGCGGTTAGGCTTGCGCTCGCCTAATTTGCTAGCGTCCCACACACAACACCTCGCAAAAGAGATCATCTTTCCCTTCAATCTTTCCAGAGCGACATCGACGACAACCGACGACCTGCCACGCCGACAAGGTACGTATTCGCGTCCCTAAATTTGCGATAGAATTGGCTCGAAGTGATTCCAATAATCCGATTCAATCTCTTTGCAATTGTCCGATTCAATCTCTTTGCAATTGTCCGATTCATCAAAGCTGATTGATTCCAGATGGGTGCCCTCAAGTACGTGGAAGAGATCCAAAAGAAGAAGCAGTCCGACGTGATTCGCTTCCTGCTGCGTGTCCGTTGCTGGGAGGTGAGAATCCCCCCCTCAATTTCGAACATTTGACATCCCGCCGGGAGGTGAAAAAAACCTCGTTTGCTTTGCCATAGGATACCCTCGAAAAAAGAGAATTTTTTTTGATTCTGGGTGTTGCTGGGCTCGGCTTCGAAGATCGCAAATTTCGCTCACAAAGCTTGCTTTTCTTTCCCGCCGGCGGATGATGTGGATGTGGCACACAAGACAAGTTATATTTGGGCTTGTGTTGTCTTGCTATACACTCGTTGAACTTTGCTGAGAGTGCATCAATATAGCTCCGTCAACTGAACGCTATCCACCGTGCTTCCCGTCCTTCTCGCCCCGACAAGGCTCGTCGTCTCGGCTACAAGGCCAAGCAGGGCTATGTTGTCTACCGTGTCCGTGTGAGACGTGGTGGCCGTAAGAGGCCTGTGCCCAAGGGTGCCACCTACGGTATGTTTTGCGCATTCAGGATTTTTCTCAATGTGAGAGGAGGCTGGACTAATTATGGTTTCGTATTACAGGCAAGCCCACCAACATGGGTGTTAACCAGCTCAAGTACCAGCGTGCTCTGCGTGCCACCGCTGAGGAGCGTGTCGGTCGTCGCTGCGCCAACTTGCGTGTCCTGAACTCCTACTGGATCAACCAGGACTCCACCTACAAGTACTTCGAGGTCATCCTCGTTGACCCCCAGCACAAGGCTATCCGCCGCGATCCCCGCATCAACTGGATCTGCAACGCTGTCCACAAGGTTCGTCTACAACGCTCGTGCAACTCGGCGCGATTCTGGGAGTTTTGCGGCGCTCTTGCTAACATTTTCTGTACAGCACCGCGAGAGCCGTGGTCTCACTGCCACCGGCAAGAAGTCCCGTGGTATCAACAAGGGCCACCGCTACAACAACACCCGTGCTGGCCGTCGTCATACCTGGAAGATCCACAACACCCAGAGCTACTGGAGATACCGTTAGATGTAGAACATTGGGTGTTCATGGGGGTTGGTGGTTATGGAAAATTTCTCTCTTCGAGGATGTGTTTATTCCGACAAAAACTCGCTTCTGTGACTTGGTCATTGAATCATCAGGGTGCGAGCCTAATGCAACAGATCTTTCGGATCGGATGTTAGCAAAAACCTTTCTCTCTCTGTTTCTTTCTATGATTCCCTTAACGAAGTACGACGACTCTTTTCTTTCTTCAGGACGCTCCCTGCAGCTTGTAGTGGACTGGTAGGCTAAATGTAGACCAAACGTCAATCCGCAACCTGTTGTAATTGATATCCACTGCGGGCGGTGTCAATTACCGGTTTGACGCCAATAGCCGCAAGTGGAAGACGTTCGGAAATGCTGATGTTGCAGTAACCTGGAACATGGTCTTTGGTTAACTAAGACACCACTTAGCACAAGTTGTCAGAGATTGTGAGACTAGTTGGAGCTTCATCGCCCAAAATAGCAGCAGTTCGTGACATCCGAGCGTCACATCCAAGACCAGCGCCTAAGGCGCGGGTCGACCCCATAACCGTGGTCCAGTAGGCTGTCGCAAGAGTTGGTAAGACATCATCTAGTTGGTAATTTCTTTCATCCCGATTTCTTTCTCAGACCTCCAGAATGCCTATTACTATCTTTGATGGTAGAGATCTTTGGAAACTGCATATTCGTTAATACTGGCTCACTGTGGTCTGAAGTTCCCACACTTCTGGCTTCAAAGAAGCTCAAGGTGACATTAATACGGGTATTAACCGCTTTCTATCACTGCCCCTGACTAATCGCTCTCTTACTCATCAATCATCCACTAACTAACTAACTAAGTTAGTTATCACATCATTAGTGTTGCATCAATTGCGGCTTCTTCTTTTGGTTCCCTTTTTGGTTCCTGAGGTCACTTGGTTCAGTCGATCTGTTCCAGGTTTTTTTCGGCAGGATCCGACCCAGTTTAAACTCCTTCATACCTCCAACTCCTATCTACCTAGTACTTACGTTGTCTCTCTCCTATCAATAAGAAGCATCTTTGTGGTTCCTGCACATACTCCCATTGATCAGACGACACTTGTGCAATACCTAGTTTTACCAGGCCTAGAATTAACCTGCGTCTGCTTCTAGACTACTCCATACGAAGAAATTATTTCACGCCTGGAGTTGTTCCAGCTCAGACAGTCTCCAGATATACCAAGCTAATGCGCCCTTATGCCGTCGCGGTCCGCGTATAACCAGCCTCATCCTCCGACTCTGAACTCCTCAACCGTCTATCCGAACGCCGCCCTTCTCTCTTCTTCAGCAGAGAGGAGTGCACAACGCCACATCCAGCACGATGTGCCGATCCTGCCGACGATGACCGGCAACCCGGCGACCTCGCCTCCCCTCCATCGAGGTCATTCTCGTTCGATCAGTCACCCGTTTCCGTCCGCCTTTGGCGGCAAGAAACGCAACCCGAACCCGGGTTTCTTGGACTCTGACTCCGACGATGACGACGTTGAGGTGACGCATCTGCCCGATGTTCTTTCTAGTAGCCCCAGAAAAGGCTCCTCACGCCCGTTGCCGGGTGGAGAGGCGATCTCAACAGGGAAATGCATGACATGCAACTCCACTGTTCGCTGGCCGCGGGGGTTAAAGGTTTTCCGGTGCACGGAGTGTTTGACTGTAAATGATCTGGAGCCGTACACTTCGAAGGATTCGGGGGGTCAAGGCATCTCGGGGAAGGATGGGAAGCCTGGTCTGTCCATACCGAGAAAAGGTGCTAACCTGGAAGCTCTTACAATTGATCTGGGCTAACTTGCAGAACCAGCGGTTCCTCTCTCCGTGGAACGGACACGGTCCATAATCGATAATTGCGTTTCATCTTATTTGCGACGGCTTTTAGACGCGCCTGTGCCTCAAGGCCTCACGTCAGGTAATCGATCTGAAAAACCCTCGGTTATAGGACAGGATGAAAATTGTGCGCATACACATGACCATGGTTCGGGTTTACTGTCTGAACCGCGCGTGGACGCTCGAGCGCGCAGTTCGTCTGCGTCCAGTAAACCCGGGAAACCAGATTGGTTCAACGGAGCCCCAAATCCTTTGAAGCCTACGGCCAGCTCCTTGGCGCCACATGCGGACGTTAGGGGTCCTCGGCTACGTAGTCGCAACAACTCGGACGTGCAGATTCCACCCAAAGACGAACGCTTGCCCCGCGAAGTAGGAAGGCCGTCTGAGCGGGACATCAAGGATCGACCTAGTCACCCTTACATCTTCAAGCCCCTAGAAGAGTACATACTAGCTTCGTTCAAAGGCTGCGACAGTTTGAATGCGTCCTTTAGTACAGCACAGCCTCCCTTACTGGCTGAGAACGCCAGTCCTGAGCATAGCCCTCCAAAACCGAAGGCGGAGAGCAATGAGGCGCTCTCTCATGCGCATCCAGCTTTTGAGATCGATGCAAAGACCCTTTTGATTGGAGACCTAGCCGAAAATTCTTCTTGGTGGATGAATGACGGGGACCCAAACTATGGCCTCGGCCATTCACATTCGAAAGGGAAATCTTCAAATCCCTCTAAAGCAGTTACCTCTAGGAGTCCGCGGATCAATTGGTCTCAATTGGCAGAGTGGCATCATCTGATCATGACGGCTGGTTCGTCATGGGTCGAGCGCTGGACAGCCATGAGGCCGGTTGATGAGCGCGGCCAAGAAGGTCACGGGCGGAGCAAGTTATGGGACTCTGTGGACATTTGTGCGATTGAGAGAGATATTACAGAATCACGTCTACATCTTCACCGAACCTTTCTCAAAGCTACGGAAAATCTGGTCAAGCGGCCACGACGACTACTACACAAACCAGAAGAGATACGGTTCCTTCTGATACTCCTCGTTAATCCATTGATATACCCCACAAGCTCTTCCTCGCGACCTGTCATTCTCACCCAATCCCAAGGTGGCAGGCGACCATCCCATCCAAAGGAGAGTGGTGAGAGGATACCGCTCCGTGATGCTAGACCTTCCCGCAAAGAACAATTGGGACCTTCTGCGCCTCGCAGTGGACCTCCAGGCCATCATTTTGGCATCGTCAAGCGCATACTGGGCTTAATGGCACACTTGCCCAACGATTGCCATCACTATCTAGTCTCCTGGTTTTCACGCCTTCCTACTGGACACTTTGAAAAATTAGTGGACCTGGTGGGCAGCTTCGTGACTTACCGTCTTAGTCGGCAGCAAGGACGGAAACGCAGCGAGGCTATCGAAAATGATAACAGTCTGGTACCCAGTTTCAGTAGTGCAGCTGGGAATACTCCTGCGGAACTGCACGCTGCGATTAATGGTAGAGGCCCCAGCAAGCCAGCGAAAGACAAGCGGATTAAGCCCGTGGTGTACGGTGATGATTGGCAGATACAAGCGGCAGCAAGGGTGATGTCTCTGCTATTTACAGCAAACGATACGAGTGTTGCTCGGAAGCCAGATGCAGCATTTGGCCAGGAAGCAGGCTCCTCGGCAAATAGAGCTGCGGCGAATCGCCGAGGACATAAGGTCCCGATCAGCGCCTTCTATAATACACTGCTGGATTATTCTGACCTCGTGGCGGATTTCGAAGCCTGGGAGTCAAAAATGGCCAAGTTCTCGTTTTGTCAATATCCTTACTTCCTCAGTATCTGGGCGAAAATACATATAATGGAACATGACGCTCGTCGCCAGATGGAAGTCAAAGCTCGCGAGGCATTCTTCAATAGTATACTGAGTCGAAAGGCGATAAGTCAGTATCTCGTATTGAAGGTCCGGCGAGATTGTCTGGTTGACGACAGTCTACGAAGTGTCAGTGAAGTGGTGGGTTCTAACCAAGAAGAGATAAAAAAGGGCCTACGCATTGAGTTTGTCGGTGAAGAGGGTGTTGATGCGGGAGGACTTCGCAAAGAGTGGTTTCTTCTGCTTGTTCGGGAAATCTTTGACCCTCATCACGGTATGTCGACGGCGTTGCACACCAAAACAACAGAGAGCTCAAGCTGATTGATACAGGACTCTTTCTATACGACGAGGATTCCCAATTCTGCTATTTTAATCCCTATTGCTTCGAATCATCTGAACAATTTTTCTTGGTCGGCGTGCTTCTTGGACTGGCTATCTACAATTCAACGATCCTAGACATTGCTCTTCCGCCGTTTGCCTTCAAAAAGCTGTTGGCCGCTGCTCCGCAGACCAGCGGCCCGCAACCATCGAGTGGCCGGTCGAACTACAGGTGTACTTTGGATGACCTGGCAGAGTACCGGCCTGCACTTGCCAAAGGCCTTCGGGCTCTTTTGGAGTTTGATGGAGATGTTGCCGATACATTCTGTTATGACTTTGTGGCCCACGTCGATCGCTACGGCGAGGCTGTTGCGGTGCCTCTCTGCCCTGGAGGCGAAACGAGGCCGGTCACCAATGCGAATCGACGGGAATTCGTGGATTTGTATGTTCACTACATGCTAGACACAGCAGTCACTCGACAATTTGAGCCTTTCAAGAGAGGGTTCTTTACCGTGTGTGGCGGCAACGCGCTCTCGCTGTTCCGACCCGAGGAAATCGAGTTGCTTGTTCGCGGCTCGGACGAAGCGCTGGACGTTGCGTCGCTTCGAGCGGTTGCGACATACGACAATTGGTCTCATCCCCGGCCGGAGAACATTCCGGTTGTTCGGTGGTTCTGGGAATTCTTCGAGAATACCGATCCCCAGGCGCAGAGGAAGATTCTTTCGTTCATTACAGGCAGTGACCGGATACCGGCCATGGGGGCGACAAGTCTTACGATCCGGCTGGCATGCCTCGGAGACGATGCGTCGCGGTATCCGATCGCACGAACGTGTTTCAACACGCTAGGCCTGTATCGATATCCCACGCGGGAGAGATTGGAGCGGATGCTCTGGGAAGCGGTGGGGAACAGCGAAGGGTTTGGACTGAAGTGATTGAATATGTTGTGAGAAACTCCGAATAGATACCTTGTACACCTCAGGGGCAGGTAACCCTGTAAGGAGCTGATCAAG